TCAGATCGGGTCTGGGGACCGGGAAGAAAGATGAGGTTAAAAACTAACTGCAGCACTCACTTGGTGAACTGAAGGTGTGGGGAGAATGATGGGAGCTAACCGGAGAGCCTGAGGGAGAGCTGGTCTGGTAAGAGTAGCATGGACAGATTATTTCACGGGAAACATGACATTGAGGTAGCAGCTCTGTGAAGGACGTGCACATAAGGATCGGGTAACGGGAGGTAGGGGTCCTCTGCGAAGTGTCTGCTGTGCTTGTGTCCTAGTACATTTTGTGCTGCTGTAAAAATACAGGCTGGATAACTTACAAGGAACAGAAATTTATGGGCTCATGGTTCTGGAGGCTGGAAGTCGAAGGGGCTGCAACAGGAAAGGGCGTCTTACTCTTCATCCCATGGCGGAAGGGTAAAGAAGAACCCATCCTTTTATAAGGAACCCATTCCCAAGTACTGTAGTATGTGACAGCCTTGGTCCATTCCCGAGCGCAGTGCCCCATGACCCAAACACCTCTCCTTAGACCTCACCCACCAACAACACATTCCAACCATAGCTTTGCACATGCGTGTGCCATGCATGTGAAGACAAAGGCATCGGGAAGTACCTATTTACAGACCTGCATAAAAAGGATCAGAAGGAAATGAACAAGAATAGTCGAGAAACATAGGTAAAGACTAAGGGTGTGAGCATTGTGAAATCCAGGAGAAGTGAGTCACCAGGTCTGAGAAGAGCTTCCTAATTTTTGCAAATTATTGCTTACATATGAGAAGAGAGCCACAGAGTAAAACAAAAATGGAGCAGGCTAGAGAATAAGAAAGTATTGAGAGGGAGATGACTGCCAAGAGAACTACACCAATAAGTTTGATGAAAAGCGTCGTTTCAGGGACTAGCAAGTGTGGGTTCTGGAGTTAATGTGAGAGGAGAAAGCCATGTGCTTCCTCTTGCTCATAATTACAGTACACGTGGTAATCCTCAAGCTGCACACCTGTTTCTCCCTTCACTATTGGAGCGTTGCTTCTGTAGATGAGTCCTGGGTGAGGTGGTGGGTATTCAAGGCCCATGTTCTTGGAGAAATACATCATCGGACAGTGACTGTAAGATGGGAAATGTGGGGACTGAGACCAGTAAAGGAACAGCATTTCCTCTTGCTTCTAAGCAAAGGTCTGCTCACTTGTGGCTGGAGTCAAGACTGTTTTCAGACTGTTCTCTCCCGCTGCTGTCCTCCTGGTTGCTGGCACTGCTATGTCCCACCCCCTCCCCCCTCCCCCATCAGGTACATTAAGTGCATGTGTGATAGGAAGGAATGGAAGTTGATTTGTTGAGGGCAATTCTAGGTCTTTTTTTTTTTTTTTTTTTTGGAGACAGTCTGGCTATATAGTTCAAGCTGGCCTTGAACTCACAGAAATCTTACTGCCTCAGCCTCCTGAGTGCTGGGATTATAGGCATGTGCCACCACACCCAGAAGATTTTGGGTACCACAAATAGAGATGTGGACTATCCTCTGAGAGAACTCTAAGATTTAAGATTAAAACTTTTAATTTAATGAACCTGAATTAGCTAGAATTTTTAGTATATCAGGCCATATTTGGGCAGGAAAGGGGCATAGCTGTGATACTGATTCAAGTGGAGCCAGCAGAATCTGTTCTTGGCAAGGGTCAGGCTCAGTGATGACTGCATGGTAGGACTGCAAAGAGGAGTATTAGGAACGAGGTGTAGGTTCTCTCAAGGGCTGTGTGAAGACAGAGTGGTCTTCTCTGCCTGGGAGGAGACATTGTGATCTTTGCTTTTTGGTTTGTTTTTTTTTAATAAATGATAAGGTTGTTGAATAGTCTGCATTGGAATTGGTGGGGGTATTTCTTAAAAGAAATGCTCCTGTGTCTCACTAACTGATCCCTGGCAGCCCTGAGTGTGGGATCCCACCATCTGCACTTGGGTACGTGCTCCAGCTTGTCCTAGACACAGTGGTGTTCAACAGTCATCACTGCAGGAGTCTTCCCCACTGCTTTCCATGGTCCACAACCAGTATCATTCACATGTACCTTAGGGTTAGCACACAGGAGACTGATGAAACAATCTGAGTTCCAGAGCCTCCATAAAGGTGCCTTTGGGTTATTACAAGGGAGGAAATATCCCCTATAAGTGTCTTAAGTGCTTTTACAGCTCTGATTCATGATGAACATGGTACTTTGCCATGTATTGTAACCAGAAGTATAAAATTTTTCTGTACCATGTAGGTGGTACATGGTTAGGTGTTATTTTTAATCCACTATGACAGTCGCTGCATTTTCATTGGGATTCCCCCCACTCCTGTACCGAATATCAAACTCAGGATCTTGTGTAGGACCTTGTGCTTGCCAGGAAGGCAAGGCACCACTGAGCCACATGCCTGCCCTTAATTGGGATTTTTTACATCATTTGTATTGCATGTACTTATTGATGATTGAGTTTGTCTCTCATAATGTTAATTCTTATCTATTTTCCATTTCTCCCTCCTTCCCTTTATCCTCTTTTTCCCCTTCTTTCGGACCGAGTATTTATGGCCCTTATTGACTTGGCTGGTGTAGAGTTTATCATTGGTGTGGATCTTTAACTTACTGCAGTCTACTTGTGTGGAAGATGTCTCTTCACACGGTGTAAGACCCTTACAACACATGCCTTTCCCTTTTGTTGCTTTGTGCTTGTAGTCAGTCATTTTACTGCTACATGTTATAAACTTCACAATAAGCTTTTATCTTTTTTACAGTGCATATTTCTGCTTTAAACAATTACCTTTTAAAGCCATTTCAAAAATAAAAAAAGCCTTTTTATTTACTTAACTATCATTTCAGATACTCTTCATACCTTTGTGTAATCCATATTTCCATCTACTGTAGTTTTCCTTTTGATTTAAGGGCTTTGGTGTTTCTTGTAGTGTTGACGACGTCTGCTTTGCATGTCTGCTGTGTCTGTCTTCCGGCTTCCTAGCTGAAGGGAGCCTGTGCAGCTCTGTGACACACTCTGCTCTGTGCTCTGGCCTGCGGGCTCCACTGGGGTGTTTGAGGCTCACTGCTGCTGCTGTAGCCTGGACACTTTTCCTTTTGTGTCTGAAACCATCTGTCCTTTTTAACCTAATGGTATGGGGATAAATTCGGTCCTTGAAACTCCATCTTTATCAGAAGTGGAAGAACAATCATGTTTAGGTTTTTTAATGCAGAAGTTATTTTTATTTTAGCAAGTTAAAGTCATTAAAAAAGTAGCTCTGACAGTGTTCTGTTGGGAGTAAAAGTTGCTCTCTTAATATCATCTGTTCAAAATAGTTCTGCAACATGGGCCTGTGCTACATGTTCTTTCCTTTTTAAAATAGGAATTTTTAAATGCCATCAAGGCAACTGGATTTAATTGGAAAATTATGACTGTTTTTATATAGCAGCATCTGGGAAGAGTTTCTTATATTTCTTTTTCTCATAAGCAAAAACTGGAGCAAAGATAAACTCTGTTATTGTGTGTGATGAACAGATATATTTGTTTCAAAAATACTTACATGCTTACTTTGTGCCAGGAAATACTCTTGCAGACGAAGAAGATTTCTGTCCCTGTAACACCATATCTTCATGTAGAGCAATAGACAATAAATAAAGACAACAGCTAATAGACATGAGGTGGTGACAGGAGCTAATGGAGAAAAGTAAATTAGGAGCTAGGATCAGAAGTGTCAGGAAATAAAAAATGTTTTGGAAGCTCCTAAGTTTGAGGAAAGGCCCTTCACTGTTTAAGAATTGTTTAATGGGCCAGGGAGTTAGCTCAGTGGCACTGTGCCTGCTTCTCAAGCACAAGGTCCTGAGTTGGATCCCCGGTACCAAAAAGAAAAAGAAAAAAAGAAAAAAAAAAGAATTGTTTAAGTCCTAGACATCTAGCTCTGAGTTGCATCTCTTCCAAACCTCATAATTTTTCCATCAATTCTACCCTCTTCTTTCTGGAATTTCAACTTATAATTATTTGTTGACTTTATTTTCATGATACATATAAAAATATTTAAAATCTTTCTCTTCTTAGAAACAAAACAAAACATCTTCATATCACCTCGTGTGCCCTGGTTAGTAATGTAACCGAGTGGAACCTTACACAGTTGCAGTTCTTGAGAGCGTGTCTTGCACTGATCATCTTCACTTCCTTTAGTCATTGGGGTTTGGCTTCTCTTGCCCTTGTTTGATAACCTGGGCTCCACCCAGCATGGCACAAACTCTACTGCATTCAGTGGGCATCTTCCAGTCCCTGCTTGCCCCTTTTGGCTATTAAATTAAAAGATGCTATTTAATCCTACCTTCAAACTCTGTTTGCTTGGTTCCTTTCAAATCGTTATCCTTGGGTGAGTTTTCAGCCATTTTTGCTTCGGCTTCCATTCCTCCTCTTGAAGCTTAACCAGCTTTCTGGCCTTGCAGTTTGTACATGCCTTTATTAAGATGATCATTTTAAACTGGATTGTTTTCTCAATGGAATGTTAGCTCTTGGAAAGCAGAACAATTAGTATTTTCATAGTAATTTCCCCAACATCTAGCTTAGTACTTAGCACAAATGTACTTAATAAATATTTGATTAATGAGCATCCTAATGGTCTTTAGCTTTCTTCTAGTAAATGAAGTCAGTTACTTGGATTAGCTTTATCTTCTACTTTGCAGAATTGACTGTCAGTGTTTGTCTTTTGTATATTCACGAGTTGTCAGTGTTCTGATTGAGCGTGTAAATTCTAAGACTGAGTTTCCATGTTCTCTACCCTTATGCTTCTAGAGGCCACTAGAGCAATCTGTAGGTACAGGAGAGAAAGTGGTCTAGAGCTAGTCATGGCTTCTGGATTGAGTGTACGATTCTCTTGCATTTCTTTGTTCTACTCCAGAAACATACTTATGCTGCTTCAGACAGGCAAAGGGTGCATTTGAGCTTCCGAGTGTTATAAGGGGTGTTTCTGGTGTCTCTGATAGTTGGTGTGGATGCCTACGGCTCAGAGTCTGATGTGATTATTGTGCCTTCAGCCTTGGACTTTGTCTCTCAAGATGAAATGTTGACGCCACTGGGAAGATTGGACAAGTATGCTGCGAGTGAGAACGTGTTCAACAGGTTTGTACATACTTTATTCTTTAATGTGGAACTAGAAGGGTGGTTTGGTTAGTTTCAGTAGGGAAAATAAAACCATCCAGCTTGAAGTAGGTATTAGCATGTGCTCAGAGAACAGTGCCATTGCAAGGACCAAGCTCTAGCTTTAAAGTAGCTTCTCCAGCGTGGTCTCCAGACAGCTGTACCAGGCCTTCTGGGGAATCAAGGTCTTTGTTTAAGTTTTTTATTGTAGCTGTGCAAAACTCATACTAGTAAAGAATACTTTTGTATAGTGAAAAACGAATATATCTTCCCATTATCATGATAATCAAAGGATAGCTCTTTGAAGTAAATTTCCAGTGACCTCAGAAAGTTGCCAGATCAGCTTGATAAAGATAAAAAATACTTAGTAATACTTAATCTCATCTATAAAATCAATACTACCATCTGTACTCAGGAAATTAGTTTATTATGTTTTATAAGAAAAACAGCCTTTCAAATCCATATAGATTCTATCTTTTAAAATTGTAATTATAACTGTTGATGCCACTGAACCACTGTATTAATTTTCTTTTTCTGTGCAGACAAATGGTGGCTCGGAGTTTGCTGGATACGTTGAGGGAAGTCTGCGATGATGAAAGAGATTGTGTTGCTGTTCTGGAAAGAATTAGCAGATTAGCTGACGATTCAGGTACATGTTTGTGCAGAAAAAGTGAATTTACTATTTCTGGAACCAAATTTGTGTTTCTGAAACTATTGGAAAAGCTAGTGTGATATCAGATATCTTAAAAGATTTCTTAATTATCAAGCCCAGTAGTAACAAGAAACAAACAAAAAAATCCTGTTACCAAGACCCAAATAGTTTGTGGTAGGCTTAGTTTAATTTTAGAAATTCTCATCAGATAAGTCTGAGAACATTGTTTTGCATCATGTGTATTCATACTATACTTTAGGATTAATAGAAATTATAAATATAATGTAGAGTAAAAGAGATGGGATTATAGTGTTTTAGGTAAATATAAAATGCTCTTGTTCTGTATACCTTCTTGCTTGCAAAACTGTTAATCTTCCATTTGTAAAACTAAAGCTGGTTGTCACTAAGCCAGAGGTAGGAGAATCTGCTTAAGAAGAAGTAAGCTTGATTTGAGCCTCAGAATATGGTGATGTTAATGTTTTTAAAATTTTTTTTATTGTAAAATATATATAACCTAAAAACACTTCAGCCAATATTATTTTAATCATATTTTGGATAGTACTTGATTTTACAAACCAAAAATAAGTTTCAGAATCTTTTTTCTTGAATCCATTACCTTTTTATTAAACGTGTTTTCAGTTTCCAACAAATTTTTTGATGTGTCACCAAGTCTCATCTTTTAATTTTTAGATGATCTCATTCTTTGGCAAGCAGATCACTTTATGGGATTAGGTTAACTACAGAAGCCTTAGATTTAAAAACTTTTCTTACAGGGCGGAAAGAATATTTGGAAGCTTATTATCTTTGTATACGTAATTGTCCTTGTATTTTGTGTTCTAGAATGGAGGGTATCATCAAGTATGAGTTTTACTTGTATTTTTCAACATGTTAAATAAAACTTCAGTTATGCGATGAGTTTTTGGATCTGGAGGTGTGATGAGATGCAGAGGTGAGAGGCATGCACAGTGGAGGGAAGGACACACAGGCCTAGAAGTGGGAGGGTCAGGGTGCTGGCCCTTGATCAGCAAGGAGTCTGTGAATCTCCAGGGCAGTGAGGCAGGGGAGGGCTTGGTTGTAAAGGCTTATGATATCCCGTGCTAGAGACTTTTTTGTGATCTGTAATAATAATGTAGTGTATAAACTGACTTAAAGATAGGTGACAAGAAGACTAATTGGGAGATCCTGCTAATTGTTATGAGTTCTTTGAGAAAAACGGAAGTGCAGGAGGAGATTCCAGAGAGCTGCCTCAGTAGTTAGAATAGGGGAGAGGGTCGAGTAGACCATGAGGTTCCTTGCTTAGTGGACCAGGCTGATAGCGATGCCCACGTAAGATGAAGGCTGTTGTAGAAATCTGGCTGGTAGTCTTAATGATATTTCTTTTTTTTTTTACTATTGTTGCTATTGAGAAATTGGCTAGTCTCATTTTGTGTCTTTGTAGGTGTCTTAGTCACTTTTATCATCCCTGGGAAAAAATACCTGACACTCAAAATTTTAAGGATTGGTTTATTTTGGCTCACATATTTTAGCCTCTAGTTGGCCAGCTCCAAGGCAGGAAGGCTTGGTGGAAGGGCATAGGCAGAGGAAAGCTGCTTGCATGGTGGCAGCCAGGAAGCAGAGAGAAGAAGCCTGGGAGAGAGATTCACCCTTCCAGGGTCACTGGCCCCTTGGAACCAGGCCCCACCTGACACCAAGCCAGCTGTAGCGTCCCTGTAATCCAGTCACCATGCATGAGCCCTGCTGTGAGTGTGTGAGGCTCTGGAGGTCGTCCAGGCATAAACTGTGATAGTAGATATTCTCGTTTCTTCCTTCTTGCTTTTAAAATCCCCTTTCCTTGCCATTCTGCAGTTTTATTGTGGTATCTTTAGGTACAAATTTATTGTATTCAGGATTTGTCCTGCTTCTTGAATTTGTTGTTTTTTCATCAAAATATTGTCTCTCCTCCATCTTAAAATCTTTTTTGTTTTTGAGTAGGTTTTTTTCATATGGCTGAAGATGTAGAACTTTTATTAGATAATTGTATTTTTCGTGGCTTTAACTGTTCTTATTTTTCAGTCTTTTATCTCCCATCTGCATTTTAGTAATTCCTGTCAGCAAGGTATCTGCTACTAGAAACTGACTTGCCTTCTGACTGTTGAATTTTACATTGCTGTTAACTCCATTTTTTTCATTTTTAGGAGTGCTTGGTATTAGAATCATTCTGTTGTGTCTGAATCTTTTTGCTAATGAGGGATCCTTTCCTTGTCGTTCTGTAGTTTGGATCTGTGAGTTCATCATTACTGGGTCTTCACAGGAGTTTGATATTCGGTGCAGGGCTGTTAGCAAGCAGGAGTCACTTTATGCTTGTTTGGCTGTGTATATGTGGTGTGGATGAGCTCTTTCTGGGTATGTAGGGACAGGCAGTTCTCAACTGTGCTTGGATGTATGAATTTGGAACCCAAACCAATTGCAACTGTGTGCCTGGGGCTTCAGAAATAACATATTAGAAACAGATTTTTTTATTTTATTTTAACATTGAGTATAACTTGGGCCAAGAATATAGCTCAGGAATGCAGGGCCTGCCTAGCTGGTAAGCGTTCGGCCCTGAGTTTGATTCCCGGTACCCAATAGATATACATAGATAGTACCAGATAAATAGATAGATGGATGGATGGAAGGAAGGAAGGAAGGAAAGAAAGAAAGAAAAGAAAGAAAGAAAGAAAAACTGACTACAAAAAGTTTATGAACTACAAGTTTAACAGCCTTGTGAAATTTCTCAAAATGAAGGTAGGTTCCTATAACTGGTGTGCAGGTTAAAAAGTAGAACCAGCAGCCCAGAAATCATCTCAGGGCTCCTCCTGACTTCTCCCTCCTCTGGCCCAGAGTTAAGCTGCATTTGACCACTTCTAGATTAGCTTGCTTGTCTGAACTCTCTATGGACTCAAACTTAACCTATTCTTTTGTTTCTGGCTTCTTTGTATTTATGAAGTTAACCGTGTTGTTGCATATGACTAGTTATTGAATTTCTTTTCTTTTTTCCCCAGTAAAGTGTTAGGGAGCCGCCACAGAGCCACACACTGTTCTGTGAGGGGCCCCGGGGCTGCTTCCAGCTTAGGCTACCAGTGCTGCTGTGCGCTGAGGGTTGCGCATCCCATGGGGTTTATCCCTCGACGTGGAGTCACTGGGTCCTACATGAGCTCAGATTCACCCTTAACAGACATGCCGCCAGGCTTCCGAGGTACATAGTGTAGCTCTTGGCAGTCCCACCAGCAATTTCACACCTTCATACACTGTTTAATTTTTTTTTTTTTTTTTGGTACTGGGCATCAAACTCGGGTCCTTGCGCTTGCGCAGCAGGCGGCGAAACCACTGGGCTAAATTCCCAGCCCGACGCACTGTTTAATTTGTCACAGGAGAGTGGGTGTGTGTTGATACTGCGCGGTGGTTTGACTTCCCTTGCTTTAGTGACCAGTGAGGTTGAGCGTCTGGTTGTGTACACAGTATCTTCTTTTGACAGCGGCTGTAGAGCCTCTCCCCTCTTTTAAACCGGCAGGTTGTTTCCTGTGCAGGACCTCTTTTCCTTCTGATGTGTGTCAGGTATGTGTGTGGATGTGTCTTTTCCACTGCTCTCATAATGATGCCACGGAAAGAAGTTCTTCTCTTTGTGCACAGTGCTCTTTGTGTCTTCTTCAAGGAAATTTTCCCTACCTCAGAGTCATGCATATTTTTCATGTATTATTAATTCTAGAAGGGTCATTGTTTTTGCCTCTGACTAAAGTCTGTATTCCATGTGGAATTCTTTTTTTTATTAAATTGACAAAAGTTGTGTATATTATATACAATATGAGGCTTCTCAAATTTCTTCTTGTGTGTTACATGAAGTAGGAGAGACATTTCGTTCTGTCTTTCACCACAGCACCGTTTGTGTAGGGCGCCGTCTTTGCCTTTCCCTCCTGGAACAACTCACTTGTCTAGATGTGTATGCTCTGTCTTTGGACTCTGCTCCTGTTCCATTGGTCTTTTTGTGGTACTAGAGATTGAACCTATGGCCTTCACACTGAGCTGTGTCCCCAGCTCTTTTAAAAAAATATTTCAAGATAGGGTTTCGCTCAGTCGCTATGTTAAGTTGCCCAGGCTGGGCTCAAACCTGTGATCTTCCTGCCTGAGCCTCCCGAGTGCTGGGATTGCATGAGTGTCCCACTACAGTCTGATTCTAAACATAAGTTTGAACAAATGTTGGTTTCATTCTTTTTTTTTTTTTTTT